ACCACGGTTAATGTGTTTTTCTTATTGCTAGTGAGGTGGGACTAAGTCCCTTGTACTGTGGCCACTTCTGGCCTATTGTACCAGCCCCAGATGATAGGTGAGGGTGATTGTGGAGCAATTGGTGGAATGAAGATTGGCAGGGGCAACCGAAGTACTCGGAGAAAACCTGCCCCAGCGCCACTTTGTCCACCACAAATCCCACATGACCAGACCCCGGGATCGAACCCGGGCCCCCGCGGTGGGAAGCCAGAGACTAACCGCTTGAGCTATGGCGCGGCCTAGTTCTATTAGAAAGTGTTAACTTCAGTCATAGGCCGCGCCATAGCTCAAGCGGTGTGGTCAAGTGGGATTTGTGGTGGACAAAGTGGCGCTGGGGTAGGTTTTCTCCGAGTACTTCGGTTGCCACTGCCAATCTTCATTCCACCAATTGCTCCACAATCACCCTCACCTATCATCTGGGGCTGGTACAATAGGCCAGAATTGGCCGCAGAACAAGGGACTTAGTCACACCACACTAGCAATAAAAAAATAACCTCAATCATTGAACTCACTGGATCAATGGGTCCAGTGATTGAGTTTACCAGTTTCTGAAACTTTGTGTTTTTCGGAATATCGGAAGATGGACAAAGTCCAAAAACTCAGTAATCCTGGACATATTGCAAACATATGACAGTTACTGCTGAATATTATACATTATTTTCACGAGTAACGCGATAGCAGATAATATCTTCCGTACTTGATAACTCGATTTATTGGATAATTTCACATGTGATAACTACAGTTCATTATTAAACTTTCACGATTCCTGTATCTAGGACACCTATGACACACAAACAATTACAACACTCTCAAGGTTAACGCATCAACTACTGAACTGCCTTTATCGATGCCTTCCTGACGAATCCCCTCGAACAGTCTTCACTGTTTCTTATATAGGCTCGGCACGGACCACGCACAGAATACACATCAACTGCTCAGCAACGGATATCATATATTGTCGTCAGGCGTGTTCACCCCTGTATTGCCTAGCAATGGGCGCCCTATTGTTGCGCATCCATTGCTGTGATATAGTTTACCGGTCTGTTACCTAGCAATGGAAGCATTTCTATTGTTGGATGCGCGTTGCAGAGCAGAGATCTTCACTTCCCCACAGCGTTCTGACCGTGTCTATAGCTCACCCAGCCTCCTATTTAGTGGGTAAGAAGGGACCCTTTTCCTGCAGGTGAAGTTGCCTAGGCGCGAAGTTAACCAGTTACATGTATCTTGTGCGGAATTTATTAATGCATGCAGCTATACCTCCATGCCCTCCTTCCTCTGTATAGTAGATATTTAACACAGGGTTAATTTTATCTTTACTTTGAACCACCATAATAGTGTTGCCCTAACTTCGACTACTGACCTATGAAAGTGATATCTCCAGTTCTTAAGGTTATAGGAATTTACATAATATCACACCTAATTTATTACTCTTGTTACTTAGATATGTCACGCAATTTCAGTGTTACAAATTTAGATCTATCACAATAATTTACTCTCTGTGTCCATAATCCTCACTCAGTGGACTGACATCATTAAATCTGAACTGTGCAAGAGTTTAAATTTTGTTAGCAATGGAACAGATAAGCAGAAGAATGTCCTGTGTGAAGATGTTTGGGTATAGTGTTTCAGTATCGATAGGAAAACCTTTCCATATCACACTGATAAAATGCATCCACTCTACGGAGAAGGGTACATCAAATCTTGTGTAGGAAGCCTTATAGAAGAGGAAGTCCTGTAAAAGTGTTTCTGAAGTTCCCACCGACGTATGAATAGCGGAAGGCTGTTCAAAACACAATCTTGTTATTTGTATTATTTGGCCCCATTACTACAGTTATTTGTACAGGTACACCATAAAAAGAAAAAAACAAACTCCGTGGTTTCATTCAGCCAGCGAACTATACCGACCGAGCGACCGCCGCTTGTCGGCGAAGTTAGTGCCAACTTTAGTGGATAGAGAGTGCCACGTGGTCAGCCCAACGAATCTCCACGGTCGTTGATTTCAGTTTTCTAGATCGGAGCCGCTATTTCCTTGAAATAGCTCCTCAATTATCCTCACGAGGCTAAGTGGACCCCGTTCCAGAACCACTACTTCTCAGAAAATCTGGTAGCGCCGGGAATGGAAAGCGGGACATCTGGATGTGTAGCTAAGAACTCTGACCACTAGACTACAGAGGCGAGTCACAGACACAACATACACTAAAATTTTACCACAAGTTTCGGCAGTTGGGCCTAGGCCCACTGGGGCTGCAGTACCAAGTAAAAAAAATAACTGTCCTAAGCCGGTCTAAAAAACCTCGATTAACGGCCGTGGGAATTATTACGCTGACCACGTGACACCCTCTATCAGCAAAAGTTGGCACTAACTTCGCCGACAAGCGGTGGTCGCTCGGTCGGTATATTTCGTTTGCGGACTACAGGCCACGGACTAATATTTCTAGTTGTTGTATACTGACTTAATGTCCTGTGCATGATATTTTTAATAAGAGTATTATCTCTTAACTCATGATGACGTAACGGTCTACGTCATTAAATGACGATGACGCATGCTCATTCCCATAGTGGGTAGAGAATATTTGAAATATACTGAAGACTAACCAGGAAATATTGTTGAGAACTATTGTTTTGTTATCTTCAGCGGTGCGTGAAAGTAGAAAACCATAACTGGTTGCGCGCAGTAACGTAATTTATCAAGGATCTCACCAGAACAGTTCGCTGGTCCTTCATTTTCATTATCGAGTAAAGCGGCCTGGGAAATCCCATTCGCCCTCAGCTGCCACTGACCGGCGGTACTCTGTCCTGTTATCTGAAGTGGCTTCTGAGTGTTGGTGGTGCTGCGAACTTACCCGCTTGAGTAAACACTCATGATTCTCTTGATGACTGCATGTGAGAAATGTCGGTTGTGGAGAATATAATGTGGTTATATTAGCGGGCGTAGAAACAAATGTAAACTAACGGTAATATTTTCACAGCCAAACAAAGGGACAGTGACCAGGAAGTAATATACTGCCACTAAATTAAATTTCTTAATTGATATGTTTTGTAGAAACATGAAATGATAATACAACGCAACATATTCTTAATTTTCTGATAAGATGTGCAAAATAAACTGCTTTTGTCAGATTCAATGTCATGACCCCATAAAACATATTCTTTATTAACAATTCTGGGACAACGTACGAGTAGGCATCAACAAGGTGGAAAAGAGAAACGGATTTAAAAAGCTTTTTAGAAAAAAAATTGACGTGTGGAATCTATTGGAGGCGGGATAGCTCGCCATAATAATTGGCTACGGGCTGGACGGTCAGTGAGTCGGTGTTCGGTTACTGGGAGGAGCAAAATATTCTCCTCTCCACCATATTCAGCGCAATCCTCTTATCCAATTAGTGCCGGGGTATCTCTCCTCGGGAGTTAAGCGGCCGGGGCGTCATGCTGATCAGCCACTTCCATCTGGTGCTGATGTTAAAATGAGGGGTAGATATAGCTGTACTTTCCCCTCCGTCTTCATGGCTTGGTGACTAATTAATTAATCATTGGGAACATTTTAAATATACTTACCTTCAATGTGGAATTTTTATACATTTTTCGTTATAAGACCCAGAAACCTCAGGGCTCCCAAGTAAGAAGAACGTTATGTAAAAGTGACTGAAGTCGTTGCATTATTTAATAGATCTTATGGCTTAATGTACTATATACTTATTCTCACGCACCTGAACGCCGTTCTTCCGCGACTACTTCTTCGACACATCTGTAAAGTGGGTAGTCTATGCATCATCTGCAGGCGATTGCCAGAACTTGCGCTGTGTGAGATTTACAGTTCTCAACGGAGGTAACAATTAAAGAGTACAGTACTCTGGGATATTACACGGCGTAGTGCGGTAGAATTTTACCGACGTATCGGAGGAATATGCTGCCTCCATCTTCAGGGTAAAAGAAGGAAATTTTCAGCTAGATTGTAATTATTTTATACTGTACGGAATAGCGTAGTCGGTATAGCGTCTGGCTACGAGCTGGACGACATAGGGGTCAGAGTTCGAGTCTCGGTAGGGTAAAAAAATTATCTTCTCCACAGGGTCCAGACTGGCTCTGGCGCCCACCCAGCCTCCTTTCCAATGTGTACCGGGGGCTCTTTCCCCGGTAGTAAAGAAGCTGGGGCGTGAAGCTGACCACTCAGCTCCAACTAGTGCCGAGGTTAAGAAAATATGGATCTATACATCCACGCCTTCATAACGTAGTGCTTAATTGGTTACGCACAGGGACCACTTTGCCTTTAAGTGGAATGATCTCTAGACACATCACGGATATTAAGAACAACAAATAATACCCTACACTGAAGAAGTGTGCATGCACGTACTCTGTATTTTGTTCTTGTCTTGAGTAACTGCATACATTTATATGGTAATCTGATTTGTACATTACACACTAAGAGCAGAATATATCTAGAAGAATTTTCGAATTGTGTTTTTCCAAATACTGTTCTGTTATTTTATTAAAAAATATAAACAGAATGTTACAGAAGAGGTTCTACTTATGGAGTCCAGCATGGGTGATCCTACCAGTAGCTACGCTACCGCCGGCATAGCATTCAGGGTCTCTGGAGCACTCAAACCCCACCACCACAATAGGGCGGAGACACCATCGATGGGGAAGACAGTAAAATAAATGGATTAAATTTGTAATTTTTAAGGCGCCGACTTTTATTTATTTATTTATTTTTTTATTGGTACTGTAAGTCATTTTGGATTACTGTGAGCTTAGATTAACATTGGATGTGATTAAGAAGGTTCCACCGTATTTGTTTACTGAACGCGCATTTAACATGTAGCTTGTAATACAGGATATCAGCCTTATCTCGCTGGACGCTGAACGCAATTGCCACAAGAGCAACTGCCTTCTCATAGCGTCCTGAAAAGCCATAAACTACAATCCTTGTCATTAGTTGAAACATGTCTGTTTCCACTTACTTGTAGGAACGGCTGTGCCCGGTAGCCACCGTGACCCCCGTACCCCAGGTTGCTCAGCATCTCGGGGCTGAACCTGTTGAACAGCCCGCCCCAAGCGCACACGCTGTTCAGCACCGCCAGAAGGATCAGAGTCCCACGCAACAGGGACCGCATTGCTGCAACAGTGACACAAGTGCAACAGAGCACCTACAAGCGTGGAGATGTCTCGAGGCTCTACGAACCAGGATGTAAGGTGCCTAACAGAACGAAATCCCCGTGTGTGTCCCACCCGCGTATGAATAACAGCAATATGTTCCAAATCGAATCTAGTAATCTTCAAGGAATGCATCCTGTTGTGTTAATCTATATAATTTCTTCTTTTTTATCCTGTTTTTGATAGTTATGTTGAGACACAAAGAAAATTTGTAGAATGTATACAGTTCTAATGAGGACGTAATGATTTACATCACTAACTTACGATGTCACACCCTCGTTCCGATAGCAGACGGCGTATATTTTACTCCTGCTTCGTAGATTGAAATTGAATCCGATAGGTGTAAAAATGGAGCATGTCCAACTGCCGAAAGAGGCTATGTTCTTTTTCCAACTAACCGACTCAGTTATATTAGTCACACACCTACTGCCTGAATAAGTCCTGAAGGCGAATTGCGTCGAAGAGTGGGGGACACATTATTGGCAGCCCACACCGCTAGCAGGCAAAGTGGAGAAGCTACAATACGCCTTCGGTAACTTGTCAGTCAATAACTGGTAATATTTTAGCAATGGATTTTCTCTGGAAAGTCTATTGGAACATTCTAGGAACAATTGACCCCTAAGGTATATCTATCACTAGCCCCATGCAACCGAAAACTTCTTGAGAAGCCGTCAGACCCTCAATTACTCAATAAATCCCCACCATGATATGGAAACTGGATGTTCATTACCGTGTTCACAAGAGCCCCCACTGGCCCCTATCCTGATCCAGATCAATCCAGTCCATGCCACCCCATTTGATTTCTCTAACATCCTTTTTAATATTATAATCTTGTCTATGTAACTTCCTAGTGGTTCTTTCCTTCTGATGTTCTCATGGCCCCATATCAATTCCTCCTATCTTCTATGCTTGCTAGATGCCATTCCCATCTAACTTGACCTTTCTAATCATATTTATCAAAGGGTAGACGTCATGAAGCTCCTCATTATATGTTTGTCTCCAGCCTCATCGTACTTCATCTTTCTGGAGTCCAAGGTGAATCACTGTCAGCCAAAAGCCCTTCATGTAATCCTACTGGCGGAGTAACCCACTGAGATGCTGCAAAGGCAGTCCACAGCTCCACGCTGCTCGACATAAGCCATGTGACAGAGGTATATAGAGACTGTATCGAAACCAATCGGGTCTGCCTTTGCAGCATTTCAGAGGGTTAGATTCGACGCAACTTCCTTAGTGTTCCTCTTACCTAATACTGCCAGGAGCCGGTTCTCTCAATTCATTTCATAATGTTATTTTTACTATCGTCGTGCTCAAAACCTACACCTAATCATAAGGTTTTGCCGCCCAAAAATTTTTTACAGCTTTTTAACACCTTCATGCATAATGGAAAATTCTAATTTTGCGAACGGAAATGCGGGTCTGGACTGCCTTTATGTTCTAGAACCAAGTTCGTGTTTTAAGGTACTTACTTTCTGCAGTGTTGGTAGGCCTGCTGCTTACTGTGCTCGTCCCGGGCTGCAGGTCCCAACTGTGGGTCAGGCGGCTCAGAGCGCCGATCTATAATAGAGACACCTGCACCCCCCCGCGCCGTCGTAACAATTTGTGTGGGCGCTAGAGTGGCGCGCTTCCGTTGTTTGCTTTCTAAGAATGAAAACCACATACACAAAAATCGTGTATGAGATAAGATACAGAAGATATAAATAGAGGAAGCGAAATAGAGAAATGATTTAGAATTTCTTTAAACTCGCAATATACTCGTATGTGAGGTAAAAGGGCAAAGCAGTTCTTGTGATTAAGTTTGCAACCCTTGAAGACGTGTGGGGAGCGAAGATATAGCTTCTTGCAATCTTAACCTCGATAGCAGAGTAATCATCTTCACGCTCCGGTTGTTTTAACCTCAACCCCTCTGGGAAAAACAGCCGGTACCAATTAGGAAGGAAGCTGGGTTGGATTCAAGATTCGATCTAGACACTTTATAAAATAGAAAAATCTGCCTCTGCTGAGAATCGAACCCCAATTCTTCGACCGTTTATCCCGTATCCAGACGCGATACCGACTGAACTATTCTGTATGTATACCTACTTTAAGAAAACCTACTACTCGGTCGCAAAATCCATTTTCTATGATCGTAAGTATTTTCTTCTACGAAGAATTATTAGTACATTAGTAAAGCGAAGAAATAAATATATACACACACACATATATGTGTACGGTCATGCAGAAGACCAATTTCCGCGTACCTAGCTTTAACCATTCACCGGTTAGTTCCTTCAATCAAAAACCAATGTACTAATTGAAAGGCCGCTATGATATTTTGTAATCTAGAAAATTTACCTTCAAAACACAGCATATACTGCAACATTAGAACAGATGAATCTGTGATCACACGTTATATAGCACTAGTTTCGCTCTCACCTCACAAGCTCGCACGAGGGTAATGTTGGTGTTATTCATGGCGAGAACTCAGAAAGTATAAAGTTGTGATCGCACGTAGTAGCATAATATTGTGACACGACGCAGTGGAAGTCCATTGCTAGCCAACGGCTCGCCAAACGCACGTTCCCGCAGCAGCAAACAAGTGCATTTCTAGCCAAACACGCGTTCCCGTAGCAGCAAAAAAATTCATTGCTAGTCAAATGTTCGTACGTTTCCGTTTATAGTACGTTTCCGTGACAACGGACATTCTCCGTGGTTACCGGTAGACTAGATATGGAGCAGTCATTCGAATTGTAGTTCAGTCGTAAAAGAATTCAGAAGTTGAGTGTCCAGCTGTGGAATGCTAACCAGTGGACAACAGAAGCTAAAGTGGCCGACTCGTAAATCAGAACCAAGTCAGTCACAATGGAAGAGAAGGCACGTGTAGTCTACTAGGAAATGGAGCGAGTCTTAGGCAGCCATTGATGTGAGCTCATATAATTGATTGTAATTATAAAGAACTGCCAATAAATGTATTCATTCAATCCAAAACCCTTTATTATTAGTCACGCCAACCCCTCATACGTGACAATATACTACCACAGTCAATAAGTTCGTGGAATGGCCGCGAAGCGTCGTACGGGAATTTACTGCCAGTATGTTTCAGCAATATTTTCGACAGCTATATCAACGTTGACAGACTTGCATAGTGGCCAACGGCAACTATTTTGAAGGCCGATCTGGATCTGCGTAAGTGTATGAATACCTTGTAATATGATGCGCTAAAACCATATTCCACGAACTTAATGACTCTACCACGTGTATATATATATATATATATCGAATTTTGTATAAATATCCACCAACTGGGGGAAGAATATACAATGGTACACGGGCGTACAAATGGATATTCAGAAACTGTACATATATCGAAATAGCCAAACAAAAATCAACTTTGATCGTTTCTGTATCAGTCGGCTAATAATGATTAGATAAAGCTTACCTGTTTATTCTGACAACGAACTGGATATTCATCTTGTAGCCAACATGCTCAGTTGTTGGACCCGAATTCAGACGGTCTTGCAGGATAATACTGGGATAGTACCACAAGTTAGATCATGACATCTTCCTCCCGCGGCCTTCCAATTCAATATCCACTAATTCTGCTATCATTCGACGCTTACAATCCGAGCCACTGAGAGCATTGTTGATTAAACCGCAGATAAAACGTACACTAAATGAGGGGTTACACATTACACATTACTTTCTCACATAGGCCTACAATTAACGTTAACTATGTTACGCTTGGATTGCTGCTCGTTAGATAATTGTTAGTTGCTGAAGGCCGAACAACAAGAAATCCATCTGATTGGTAAGTTTCAATTTTTGTCATATAGTGTTGGTACCGTTATTTCCCTGAACATAGTTCTTATGCAGTTTTGTTTAAGGAGAAGGTTTCTATAAGTTACTGACGTTCAGTCAGGTTCGTTGGAGCCATTTTGAGAAAATCTTCATTTTCAGGAAAAAATCATTTTATGTCTTGATGGCCATTTCAAGAACTTATATTTTTGGAAGTGGAATATTCTCGTATTCTCCGGCTACCGATGTGTGATGGATAAACTCTTAAGTAGTAAGTAAAAGGTAAAGTTATCCGTGTAAGCAGGTCGTGGAGGCCCATATGGTTATGAAACGTCGAGGCTCCCACATTTTCTAGACAATCGACTCACAGATGGCGGTGAGGTTGTCAGCCTTAAAGGCTGGCCGCCGTTTACCCCCAGGAAGATTCCTGGTACTCATTTCTGTTAGAGGAGTACTAGTGCGGCCACCGAACATGGCGGACGCATTTTGAGTATTGCAGCGTCTTTAATGTGAAAGTGACGACTAGTTAGTTCAGTGCACTAGCTAACTCAGTTCATACATAAAATGTTTCAACAAACCCCTTACACAACAAACGGTTACACAGTGGACCAAAGTTATATTTAAATGGGCAGCAGCAAATGATGCAACAACAACAATTAATTCAACAAGAACAACACTTAGTGCAACAACAGCGTCAACAACAACAACATTTCGAACCTCAGCCGCTTTATCCAATCCAACAATCTGGCTACAGTATTACTCCTGTTCAGCATACCAATTATAGTGCATCGTCCTTTGTGACTGCTCGACCCAGCCAACAAGCTCAAAGTCTAATAAATAATCCAGCAACAAGAAGTAACACCGAAAAAAAGGCAACCTGAAGGAGCACAAGGAAGTACAAATGAAACTACGACCCAGTATACGTGGCAGACAATCAAAAAAAGGAAGAGAAACAGTCCAACTCCAGAAGACGGAGCACAGCGACCTGAAATCAACTGCGATAACAGGTACGAGCAACTCTCGCAAATACAAAATGACGATAATAATGATGTCATACTCATGGACATAACAAACAATACCCAATCAGAAGAGAAAACAAGTGGTCTAAGGGATCCTAAGCCTCCCCCAATATTTGTTTACGGAGTAACAAACTTCAAAGATATGGTGGCGCATTTATCCGCAACCATAAGAGGACCAATACTACTGTAAATTACAATCAAACGATACTATCAAAATACATGTGACAACATCAGAATCCTATCGTAAATTAATTAAAGAACTACAGGATGACAAAATTATATACCACACATACCAATTGAAACATGAAAGAGCCTATACGTTTAGAATAGTTATTATGAACCTACATCACTCAATACCAACAACTCAAATAACAGCAGAACTAGAGAAGCAAGGCCATAAAGTAAGAAATATACTAAACGTTAAACATCGTACAACAAAGAACCTCTCCCCTTATTCTTCACAGACCTAGAACCAAAAGAAAATAATAAAAGCGTCTACGATATGGAATTCTTATGCAACAAGAAAATTACTGTTGAGGCCCCAAGACAAAAGAAGCACATCGTTCACTGCACAAGATGTAAATCATATGGCCACACAAAAACATACTGAGCAAAACCATATGCATGCGTTAAATGCGGAGCAAAACACAACCCAACCACATGTACAAAACCATCTGACACACCAGTCAAAAGTGCACTTTGCGGAGGAAATCATCCTGCAAGCTACAAAGGATGTGAAGTGTACAAGAATCTACAAAAAACAAGAGGCAAGGCATTCAACGAAATTCCTCACAGACCGATCCAGCAGAAAATCAATATCAACGATAATAACAAAGTTCCACCTATCAACCCAAACCAAACTTCAACTCCAATGTCTTTTATTCCACAAACCTCATACTCACAAGTACTCACGCAAAATCAGCAGTCACCCATTATGGCAGACCAATTATCAATGTTCCTAAGTGAGTTTAAGACACTGTTCAACCAGCTCGTAAATCAAAACACTATGATTCTCAGCCTACTCAACGCGATCATCAACAAAACTACTACCACTGCATAACTCATTGCGAATAGTACTCTGGAACGCCAATGGGCTAATAAGCCATAAACTAGAACTACAAACTTTCCTCAATATACATAAAATTGACATTGCTTTGATATCAGAAACTCATTTTACCACCAGAACAGTGCTTAAAGTACCAAACTACAAAGTATACCACATATCTCACCCGGGCGATAGGGCTCGTGGTGCTGCCGTCATCATCCGTAATTCAATTTCTCATCACGAGCTCACACATCACCAAAATGTCAAATTCTAAGCAGCCAACGTCAAAGTTAATGTGAAGGCATGGCCTTTGATAGTGTCTGCGGTATACTGTCCCCCAAAACATGCAATATCAAGTGAAGAATACGTCGAATTTCTTGAATCCTACGGTTCCAAGTATATAATAGGAGGTGACTGGAACGCCAAACACACCCAATGGGAAGCAAGACTGATTACAACTAAAGGAAAAAACCTTCTGGAAGCAATAAAGAGACGAAATTGTAACCACCTCCTCACGGGTGAACCAACGTATTGGCCAAGCGATTATAACAAGCTACCAGACCGATTAGATTTTTTCAACCACAAAGGTATTACAAAAAAATTACATTCAGATAGAATCTAACCATGAACTATCATCTGATCACACACCTGTAATTGCAACTTTATCGACCCATGTGATAAACCAATCACCGATAAATATGCTGGTTACAAACGCAACGAACTGGAACAAC